GGCGAGTCAATCAAAGTTGTCATTTTTCAACCAATTACGTAAATGTTGGCGGAACCAGTGAGCCATGACATGACGGGAATAAACACGGCCAAAGACGAAAACAGATTCAATCTTTTGCATATACATTATTTACATACAAGTAAGTATATGACCTATCTCTTGCAATTCGACATAAATTAACACAGGAAGAATTTTGAAAGAGAACAGATTGCATCCACTTCTCTTGCTCGCGCAGTTTAGTCAGCCTTTGGAAAATTTCTCTTGGTAATTTGTTCCAAATTGCACTCGAATTCATGTGATTGTCTGTGAGAACGAATCATAACAAAATGTGTACGTACCTGCCGGTCGGCACACCACACCAGCGTCATCGTTATGTCCACAGTTGTGAACTCCCCATCCTGAGTGATTGCACTGCGCTATTAGTGTCTCATTTCCTACACATTTAACATCATCCAGCCATATCTGGCCAGTGCCTTGTCCAAATGCTGCTTCACCGGGTGCTGATAAAGCTCCTTCGTATCGAAGCTGCCGACAAACTACTTCAGCGTCCTGTAAGTCCCATGAATCGTCACAGATGGTTCCCCATGTACCATTATACAGCACTTCAACACGACCAGAGGATGGCGACATACTAGGGCTTACCAAACGAACTGTTGATGGGAGGATACAAGTTAGCTTAAATTTGCGACAAAACTTGCCGACGCATTAAATGCACGTACCCACCATCAGTTAGTGTTAAGAAATGATATGTCCTACCGACAACTACCGACAAATCGCTACTTAACCCCTTTAAGTCCGTTTGGTGGCGCACACTCTCAGAAAAAAAAATGTGGAAAATTGTTCAGGGAGAGAGAAAAGGAGATTTGGGGTCAGAGTTAGGGTATGAGGAGAAAAAAGGAGTATGATATACGAGAAGATTAAGATGTTGTCAGCTATTTTAGCAAATTTTACTAATACATTGTAATAATTGATCGAAAGACCTCCGTTTTAAGAAGTTAATCCGTTCATAGAGAACTACACTATATAAAAGTAGACTTATGATGTTCTCACCAAAATAAAAAAGAACCCATGGTGATAACTTTCAGAGACTAGTAATAATTGTTTTTAACTACGTCTGACTTACGGAACTTAAGCGGCATTGGATCTGGAGACTTGAAAAAGCGTGCCCAGCAAGATTAGCCTGGCACAAGAGGCATAAATTTTTTCTCACGGAAGGAGATATTCAAAACTGAGAGATAGCAATGATATTTTCCTAGTTCGACTAGTATTGTTACGATACCTTGTACGTGCATCGTAGCTTTACCTTTAGATTTGCACACTACTCCAGCGTCTTCATAATGCCCACAGTTGTGGACGCCCCATCCTCTGTGATGACAGTCCGATATCGAAATCTCCTTTCCAACACATTGAACGTCATCCAGCCATATCTGACCAGTTCCTTGTCCAAATAGTGCAGTACGGGGTGCTGATAAAGCTCCATCGTATCCGAGCTGTCGACAAACTACTTCAGCATCTTGCGTGTCCC